ATCCGTGAGGTTTTGATGTGGTTTAAGGGATTGTCCGTACAGTTGTACGGACAATGGAGGAAATACGAGAGGGAGGAGAGAAAGATCAACGGGAGGTGTGTGTGTGTGTGAGTGTAAGTGTATGGTCCAGTTTTGGGTCACTAATCACAACCAAAGTTACTAACTTTAAGTTCCAAAAACTTAGGAACTAACCAATTTAGTTTAAACCCAAACTTAAGCCACAACACCACATAATGCACTCAATGTCCCAGGGCAATTTAGACATTTACAATAATTCGGGACGAGTTGTGACTTACGATGCCTAAGTCAGTAACTTTGAAAAATAGTGAGTGTTTAGGACTTAAGTGCGCATCAAAAGCTTACCAGAATTTGGTAAATATGAGATATTTATAGGGAGGTGGCCGGCCTAGGTGTACTGCTTTACCCTTCATGTGGCGGCTTCCCATTGGCCAATGTTGTGTCATCCGTAGGATGATGATGGAAGCATCCTTGGTTGATTATGATAAAGATTCCTTACAATTAGGAATGCATTAAAGATAGGATTTGGTGATTAATCCTATCTCTAATGCCTTTGACTTTTCCATGCCACGAGAAGAGATGTTAGAGTATATTAGTGGTCAAGATTGTGACATGTGTCATTGGATTATATGAGTTGAGATAGATAGGTTGACAAGTATTTATAGTGAAATATCTCTTGTAATAGATGAGAACTGAAGAAATAAAAAATCAGTTACAATTTTCCCTCTCTTTCTAAGCTTTCTCTCTTTCTCTCTCTAGTCTTTTCTGATCTTTCAGATTCCATAGCTATTGTTAACATGGTATCATCGCCGATCACGGGTAACACCATTGATTGACGATCCTCTGCTTCCGCATTGTTTTGTTGTTCTCGTCGTTCGTCGTTCGTCGTTGATTGGCTTTACTGCTCGTCGTTTGCGTCGGTTGTTGAAGGTTGCTGGTGCGATTGATTGTCGGTTGCGTCACGAATTCTATCTTTTGGAGTTCTTCGATTCGTCGCTGGTGTTTCGGCGGCTGCATTCTTTCATCTTTGAGCTTCAGGAAGGTGATCTTGTTTCTTCTCATACCTACTGCAGTATTCTTGCGATATTGATAATCTTGATCCCGTATTGTCTGAAAACCCTAGATTGTGGAATCTTGATCCCGTATTGTCTGAAAACCCTAGATTGTGGAATTTTGATTTCTGCGATTGTACCGTCATTTGTGGATTGCTTCTGAGTGTGCATTGTGTATATTTGCATTACTTGCTTTGTGGTATTTTCTGGTTAAACAATGGTTACAACGGCTCAATTGGCTCTTACTCAATCCCCAATTTCGTCTCTCATTCCCACTGTGGGTAATATTGTCACTGTCAAACTTGATGATTCTAACTATGTGACTTGGAATTTTCAAATGGAGTTATTGCTGGATGGCAATGGCATTTTTGGTTTTCTTGATGGATCTGTTGTATGTCCTGATAAGACTGAGTTGAATTCTGATGCTTATGATGTTTGGAAGATACATGATAAGGCTTTAATGACGCTTCTTACTGCTACCCTGTCAACTGCTGCTTTATCATGTGTTATTGGGTGTAAGAGTTCTAAGGAAATGTGGACTAGTCTTCGAGAAAGATTTGCAAATATGACTCGGACCAGTATTGTTCAAATGAAGATTGATCTTCAGAATATTAGGAAAGGTTCTGAATCCATTGATGCATATCTTCAGAGAATTAAAGATGCTAGGGATCATTTAGCTGCTGTTGGGGTTGTTATTTCTGATGAGGACATTGCTATTGTTGCATTGCGGGGGTTACCTCCTGAGTATAACACTATTAAGTCTGTCATTCGTGGACGAGAAACATTGGTCTCTCTAAAGGAACTGCGGTCTCAATTGAAAGCTGAAGAAGATACGTTGAATGAAGTCACTAAGCAAGTTCCTCTTATGTCTGCTATGTTGGCTCATAAGTCTTCCTCTGCGTATGAAACTGGAGGTATCTCTGGTACTAAGGATGGTTCATCTAGCAACTATGTTGGCTCTCAGTCACCATATTCCTATGTGCCTCTTCAACAACCTCCTCAGTATTCTCCTATTCCTTTCTCACAACCTTTTTCACAGCCCCAATTACCCTATCCTCAGTTTCACCAACTTCCTTTTCCTGGACCCCTGGCTTTTGTCTCTCAAAGTGGTTCCGGTACATACAATAATTTCAGAGGGAATAATTTCAAACACAAAGGCAAAGGCAAGAAGTTTTATCAGGGTAATCAAGGCCAGTTTCCACAACAGTTGTCATTTGGTGGAAATCAGTATTCACCTCAGCCTCCTTTCCATTCAGTATCCGGTCCACAACAACAACAAATGCTCTCTCCATAGAGTTATCAACCATTGCAGAAATGTCAAATATGTGATAAAAAGGGTCACTCTGCTATCAATTGTTTTCAACATGGTTGTCAGATTTGCCATAGAGTGGGGCATACGGCTGCAACCTGTTTTGACAGAAATAATTCCTCAGCTCCAGGATATCAGTCATCTCAGCCGTATTATCAACCACCATTTCCACAGTTCCATTCTCAACAGCCTTCGGCCTCTCACCAGTCTATGAATTTCACTGGTCAGTCATCTGGCATGCATTTCAATGGTCAGTCCTCTGGCATGAGTGGTTCTTCTTCTTCTCCTGTGGCTATGACAGCTCAAGCTACTCCCACTCCATCTGCACCTCAACAAGAGTTTTGGCTTCTTGACTCCGGTGCTACTCATCACATGACCTCTGATATTTCTAATCTTCAGATGGCTTCTCCTTATCCTCATTCGGATACTGTCACTGGTGCTAGTGGTGAAGGTTTGCTTATTGCTCATATTGGCAATTCTACCCTTCCAACCAAGTCTCATACTTTTCAACTTCAATATGTATTGCATGTTCCTCGTTTGTCTCAACATTTATTATCTATGCATCAATTATGCAAAGATAATAATTGTCGATGTATCATTGATGAGTTTTCTCTCTGTATACAGGACAAGATCACTGAGAGAATATTGTTCCAAGGACTGAGTAATCATGCCGTTTATCCTCTTCCTGTGCTTCCAAAATCAAAGGTCTTACCAGCAGCATTTCTTGGTCAAAAGGTGTCTTCTTCATTGTGGCACTGTCGCATGGGTCATCCTACTAATCACATAGTTAAGGTAGCTCTTAGTAAGTCTGCCATTCCTTTTCATTGTACTGCACACCCTCAGCCTTGTACTCCCTGTTTGGAAGGAAAGTTTACAAAACTTCCTTTTCCTTCTCCTGCTTCCAAATCTGTACTCCCTTTTGCAGTTATACATTCCGATGTATGGGGACCTGCACCTTGTATGTCCATTGAGGGGTATAGATACTATGTCTCTTTCATAGACGAATGTACTAGGTATACATGGATTTTTCCACTCATCAATAAAGTTGCTGTCTTTGGTCTTTTTGTGCAATTTCATTCCTTTGTATTGAATTCTTTTGATGCTCATATTAAAACACTTCAGAGTGATGGGGGTGGGGAATATATTGGTGCTTCTTTTCAGTCTTTTCTTCGGGAAAAGGGTATCACCCATCAAAAGTCTTGTCCTTATACCCCTGAGCAGAATGGGTTAGCTGAGAGGAAAAACAGGCATGTTGTTGAGACTGCCATTACTCTCTTGCAGCAAGCTTCATTACCTTATAGGTTTTGGTATCATGCCTGTGCCACTGCAACCTATCTTTATAAATAGGATGCCAACCTCCACTTTACTCATGAAGTCTCCCTTTGAAGTCTTGTATAAAATCACCTCCTCAACTTGCTCACTTACGCATTTTTGGTTGTACTTGTTTTCCTTCTTTGAAACCCTACAGAACAACTAAACTTGATCCAAAAACCCCTGTTTGTATTTTTTTGGGGTATGCATCTCAGTATAAAGGTTATATTTGTTACTCTGTCAAAGATCACAAGTTAATTGTGTCTAGACATGTCCTGTTTGATGAAAGTCACTTTCCTGGTTCCACTAACCTTCATCCTCTACAGTCTATTTCACCTTTGTCTTCCGGTGTTCCACTCTCTGGTCTTCATTCACATTCCTTTGAGCATCCTTCCTTAAATCATACTGTCTTACCTCGAGCCAGTGTTCCTGCTTTTTCCCATACTCCTAGTCCTATTACTCAGTCTCATATTCTCAATCAAGGTGATCTTGTCTCCACACCGATGGACATCTCTGGTTCAGTCACAGATTCTGCCATGGGTTCATCCTTACATCCAACAACTCCTCCGTCTCAACCTCCTATGGTTTCGGACTTGCATCCAGATACTACTACTTCTCAAGCTCCGGACTTACACCTTGTTCCCTTGACTTCTCAGAATTTCCATCCTATGCAGACACGGTCTAAATCGGGGATTTCTAAGAAGAAGAAGGTGTATCATACTACCATTCATCTTGATTCTGTTAAAGAACCGACATCTTACTCTGCAACTTCTAAGTCTCCACAGTGGCAGCTTGCTATGCAGGAGGAAATGGATGCCTTACTACAGCAATATACCTGGCACCTTGTTCCATTGCCACCAAATAAAAATTTGGTGGGTTGTAAATGGATTTACAAAGTCAAACGCCATCCTGATGGGTCAGTTGCTAGATATAAGGCTCGTTTGGTGGCCAAGGGGTTTTCTCAAGAAGCTGGGTTGGATTATTACGAAACATTCAGTCCGGTGGTGAAGCCTACTACTGTGCGCCTTATTCTCTCTCTTGCAGCCACTCAGGGATGGAAACTGAAACAACTTGATGTCAAGAATGCCTTTTTACATGGCTTTCTTGAGGAGGAGGTGTATATGTCCCAGCCATAGGGTTTTGTTAACAAGGCTCATCCCGACTATGTTTGCAAATTACAAAGGTCACTTTATGGACTCAAACAAGCTCCCCGAGCTTGGAATGACAGGTTCACTACTTTCTTACTCTCATTGGGGTTTAAGTCTTCTTATGCCGATCCTTCCATGTTTGTTCAACATAATGGTACCAACATGGTTGTGTTACTGTTATATGTGGATGACATCATACTTACTGGTGATAGTGAGGCTTGTGTTCAGTCTGTTATCTCTCAGTTAACCACCGAGTTTGACATGAAGGATTTGGGGATTCTTCATTATTTTCTTGGCTTGCAAATTGACTATCACTCTTCGGGCTTATTTGTGCATCAGTCTAAATATGTTCATGATCTGTTGCAACGGTCGAATATGCTCGAGTGTAAACCATGTCTCACACCCTGTCATCCTAATCAGAAACTTCTCACACATGGCAGTCCTAGTTATTCCGATCCCACACATTACAGGAGCATTGTCGGAGCCCTTCAATACTTAACATTTACACGGCCCGATATTGCCTATTCTGTGAATCAAGTGTGCCAATTTATGCATTCTCCTCTGGACTCTCATTATGTTGCTGTCAAGCGGATTCTTCGATATCTCCGTGGTACTATTGGCTGGGGCATCTTTTTTCAACCTGGTTCCCTGTGCTTACGAGCTTACACAGATGCTGATTGGGCTGGTGATCCCAACGATAGGCGGTCTACTACAGGTTTTGTTGTCTTTTTCGGCTCTAATCCCATTTCTTGGAGCTCTAAGAAATAACATACTGTTAGTCGGTCATCGACAGAGGCTGAATACAGGGCTATGGCCACTACCACTGCCGAAGTTGTTTGGCTTCAACAACTTTTGAAGGATCTTCATCTTGACATTTCCTCTCCTCCCAGTTTACATTGTGACAATGTCTCTGCTATGGCTTTGGCTACCAATCCGGTTTTGCATTCTAAAGCCAAACACATCGAGGTGGATTGTCACTTTGTGCGGGAAAGGGTTCAACAAGGTGTTATATCTCTGCAATTTGTTGCTTCCCAAGCTCAATTTGCCGATATTTTCACCAAGGGTTTATGTTCCCCTTTGTTTACCACTCATTGTTCCAATCTTATGCTTGGTTTACCTAAGACATAAGATTGAGGGGGAATGTTAGAGTATATTAGTGGTCAAGATTGTGACATGTGTCATTGGATTATATGAGTTGAGATAGATAGGTTGACAAGTATTTATAGTGAAATATCTCTTGTAATAGATGAGAACTGAAGAAATAAAAAATTAGTTACAATTTTCCCTCTCTTTCTAAGCTTTCTCTCTTTCTCTCTCTAGTCTTTTCTGATCTTTCAGATTCCATAGCTATTGTTAACAGTTTTGAGCAGTCCTATTCAACTGCTTAAACCTTCAAGGATGTTGAGCTGCGCGTAGGAATATTTGTATACTTTGCCCATTTAATGATGGAAATCTTGTTTTCTTTGGAAAAAAAAAACGCATGTATCATCTCCAGAATTTTGGGATTATTGTTTACTCCACAGTAGTGAGATTGTGAAGATATTCAATCAAACGTTCCATATATAAAACAAATAACGAAATAAAAGGTCCCCTTAACGGGTTGAAGTAACTTTTGTTAAATTAGGGCCAAATTGGATTAATAGTCCCCGTGATGATAGAGTATTCGGAGGATTGTCCATGTGGTAAAAAAAATTAGGATTTAAACCCTTGTAGTGAAGATTATTAGTAAAATTAACCCAAAAAACAAACTTATGTTAAACTCAGTTAAGTATAAGGATAAAAATGTCCAACCACACTTTTTATTTATGCTAGCCTTCTATTCCTCTCTCTGTGTCTTTGTAATTACCTCCACGATGCAATGCAAGGCCACAATCGGATCAACACATGTCTCCTTGCATACTGATCATCCAGGTCTTTCGGCTGCTTGACTCCAAGCCCAGTCGTGATGCTTGCTCCCTCGTCTGCAAGCGCTAGCTCACCCTCAAGCGCCTCAGCAACACCGCCCTCTACATTAGCACCACTGGCAGCACATAAGGAAGAAGAAGAAGAGAGTGACGACAAATGATGACAAATGACGACAGAAGAATTACAAGTTTATGAAAAAGTGCTTGCAGGCAGTGGCAGTGACAGTAACTGGCTGACTGCTTTTCTTCTTCTTCTTCTTTTTCTTCTTCTTTTTCTGCTTCTTTGTCTTAGCAGCAGCAATTACCAAACCGGAGCATGAGATGAGATGAGAGAGATTTTCCGATTTAGCAGCAGCAGCTTAAGGCTTGGTTTATTATTTTTTTTTTGAACAATTGACCTTTTTATATTTTGTTTGTTACTCTAGTTTACTCTTATACAATACAAAAGAAAAACAAACGTCATAATGCCCTCCATATATTTATGTGTTTTACAGAGCTTACGATGGACTGGTGAATCTTAGCAGTGCAAAGTGAACAAGGCACAACAAAAGACAGAAAGAGGGAAGAAAGAAGAAGGCTAAAAAGAAAGAGTGTTTGGACACTTTTATCCCTACATTTAACTGATGTTCAACATAAATCTCACATTTGGGTTAAATTTGCTAGTAACCTTCATCACAAGGGTTTAAATCCTAATTTTTTTACCATATGGGCGATTTTTTGAATACCTTATCACCATATGGACCATGAATCCAATTTGGCCTTAAATTAGAGGATTCATTGAATAATCATGGTAAATATCAAACTAAAGGCGGAAGCTAGGGATGCATATATTCAAAACTAAATCATTTTCTCAAAATCTTGAAGACCCAAGTGTTGATGAACCAAACTTATTCTAAAGTTAAAGAGTAGCGTATGAGATGATTACCCTTGAAGACTCTCTTTAGTTCGTAGAGCCAAATTAACACCTTTTAGAAAGGCCTTCAAAATCTCCATGGAAGTGTTTTTCCTTTTCTTGAAGAGAGTTCTCCAAAGCCACCAAAGAAGATGACCTCTAAGTAAACCACTTTGGAAGTGTAGTGCATAATCACATAGTCACGAACCTATCCGCATGTCAGACAATGATGACTTATGTCTGGGGATTAATTTGCATTATTATAACTAATGAGTTACTTACTTGACATGTCGTTAAAATTCCCTTGCAAGAACTCGACTGATCACGTTCAATGTGATCAATCACAATTGAGCATCTACATACTTATCTTCGTAGCACAACAAGAATGGCAAGAGACCAACCATTATGTTTTGAGATGATACAATATGTTTCCATCTATAGTAAAGGTCTCTAACACATGGTAAACATGCCCCAAAGTGTAGCCTCAACAATTGAATTTTATTTGTAGTAGGTTGCTTGGGCTACTGTTAATATAATGTTGGGCTAGTGTTAATGTATAATGTTATCGTAATCTCCATTATTTGCAATATTATGTCACCTAAACCTGTTCAAATAACGATTTTAGGCTCCGCCATTGATCATAATATGCTTGGTTTGTGTACTCATGTAACATTATTAATTAAGTTTAAGCGGATCTGTCACGGTATGAGCTTAAAACTTGTTCTGTGTAATATAGATATTTAGATAGATGACATCTGCATGATTTATTTTTTCTTTTATTTGCTATTCTCGTTTTCCACTTGGACTTGAGGAAGATAATGACTGAATGACTGAAAGGTCATGCATTAGCTAATTCAAAATTTCCAGATTTGTTTTAGTTCCTTTGATTAGCTAGTACGGTATAGAGTTAACCCTGATATTCTTCATCACATTTGTGCGACGCGTTGCGGATACAACACGTGCTGCTTTATCCCACACGTAAGCATATGCATGCGCTTGTTAAAGGTTGTTGAACAATCAAGCCAATGGAGCCTTGTTTTGTTTTGAAAGACATACAGATGGATCTTATTTTCAAACTCATCGAAATAGTAACCTATCAAGTATTACATGAGGAAAATTAGGAACCTATATACTGTTAGCCTTATAAGGTTATACAATTAAAACACAAACGAAGAGTGACTGACCTGATTCCAATGGTAGTTACCGAAGATGCAGTAGCCATGCAAGCAAGACGTCATCGATAAAACTCCAATCTTTATGTTTGCCGTGACAAACAGAAACACCAACTCTTCTGTAAACTCTTAGCTTTATGACAATGCTCTATGGGAAGCCTTAGTTGTCGTGTCTAGGGTTAGCAGGGACCGGTGTTTATATACTAGCCAAAAAGTCTTAGATTCCGTCCATAAGGGAAAACTAAAACTCTCCTTTCTTGGCTCTCAAGTAAAATATCATAATCATATATTATTAAGGATTCCATCAATCCTATTTCCAATATAAGACACCTTATATAAGATTGATATCTTTAAGAGATCAAATCACAATTAACATTATTCTCCAATATTACATTCCTATTACATATAGTAGACCACTTAAAGGTTGATTTATATTGGATAAATCCAACATTCTCCCACTTGGTCTACAAAATGTAATATTCATGTTTATACTTGAGATTGGAGACTAATGTCACTTTAGTGGCCATGTAACAGTGATTACATCTCGTCCTTAATGCAGCTTCTGTCAAATGCATTTCTTAACATGGAACTAACAAGGTTGTAGAGTTGACACAACCCAGAACCTTCATAATCACACATGCTAAGATCATCATTTACATGAAACACAAATTATGATCAAGAGATGAAACTTTAAAATTAAACTTTAAATTAACCAAAATGTCTTACTTTATATCATCTCAGGTCCACCTTATTGTAACTCACAAGTTACACTTTATGCTTCTTCGAAGCCTTAAATCTGCCAATGCAGATATCCTTCATCTAATGAAACCACCATAACCTGTAGGTGTGAATACATCTCCAAAACAATCATGCATCACTTTCATTAGATCAATAATAATACAAACAATGTTTGTAGCCAACGGACACAACTGAAAATACCAAATAGGCACATGTCCAAGTAAAATATCCCAAAACTTCATAAAACAAATTAATTCAACACTTGTGAGCAAGATGAATTAATATGTTTTTGACACTGATCTATGCACCATACCAGTTACTTTCATAGTGATTTCCAACACCTGCGGGCAAGATGGAAATCCTCACAACTGAGGTAGTGCACAAACCATGCCATGACATTTAATATGCAATTTGATAACAACTTGAAATCTGATATATATTTCATCAGATGATTGACTAGCACACGAAAAATATGACTTAATGAATCCAACTGGAGATTAATATGAATACATGGATTCTATACATACCTTATAGGTCATCTGCAACTGTAAAGCATTACTAACACGAAACTCAAACTCCCACTGATCTGCAACATCGTTACTTATTTTGCAAATCAATACTTAAATCATACTTTTGAAAATATGCCTTTGGGAGTAGCCTTACTTAGTCAATGAATGCATATTACCTCAATGAAAGGTACAACTAAGCTTGAAAACATTCACTGCTGTTACACAAAACATGTATCCAACAACCATCTTATATGTATTAATAAGTCCACATTTATGCTAAGTCCTTATGAGCCCCAAAACAATATGATCAATCGAGAAATCTAAATGATTGCAAGTAATAGAAAATGTACGCATATACCAAGTATCCATTTGTGCAACTTAAACATATTATAGACATTCAAGTAACACAAATTCATGGAAGATAGAATAATGCTTTAATAGATTCATGCAAGTCCACTTAGTGCTCAAAATTTTAGAACAACTCCCACTAAGTTATCAGAGTTTATGCTTGCAAATAAGTTAATGAGTGTGAAGCCCAATTTTCGTTCACTAATTCTCTCATTTGGGCAAACACTCGTTAATATATTCTTTCAAAGATGTACCTAAAGAAAATTTCTTTATATATTAGACATAATAAAATAGACATCACAACCAACATAAAGTTGTCAAACAGAATTTCAGCAATGAGTTACACTTACTTTAGAATTTATCATAATTAATTTACAAGCTTGATTGCTACCAAAGTGATACTGACCAAAATAGACATACTAATCTTCGTAAGATAAAAAATGGAGCTGTTTTGGGTCAAATAATAGTCTAAAGTGACGTCTCAAAAGAACTAACACAATCTGTCAGTAAATACTGTCTATACGAGCATGGGTTACTAGTAAATTCATCATAATTAACATACATG